CCACGAGCCACGAGGTCCCTTCCGCGAACCTCCGCGCTGCATGATCTCCATCGTTTCCTTCCGCAAACCTTCCGCCGCACACGTTTTACAAGATTTGCTTCCGCGAGTATTGGCGCAGAAAGGACCGTGAAAGCAAATTAGTAGAAAGCGCTGTAGCTAAGCGCTTCCCGACAGCAGGCCGCGCAGCAAGCTCTTGTTTTCCGCGGCGACCTACTAGTTTTCATCATCTGACGAACTGCTTGTGGAGGACGCCGAGGACGCAGAAGAAGAAGCCAAGTCGGCGGTTGCGGGGGCAGAAGATGAGCTGGCATTTGCGGGTACAGAGGCAGCCGCAGGAGCACGAAGGGCTTTCATGTGGGATAGTTGCCATCTCTTTCTGGAAGCTTGCTTGCTCAGGCGCTTTGCCAAGGAAGACATCTTTTCTTCCAGGCTGCGTTTTGGCGACGGGGTGTCTGTGGCAAGGAACTTCTGTTGAGCAGCAAATCGCCTTGTGATGTCGTTCTCATTGCCAGGGCCTGGGCCAGCTTCTTCCCAAGAGCGCGGCTTGTCGTAAAAGCCTCGCCGCCATCCCACACTTGTCTTCGTTGGTCAGTAGAGCAAACTCGGCTTTGCCTGGTCCAGGTCTGACAAGTCGACAACCTGCACTCCAGCAGCAGAGCGCCGGTCAAGGCGCGGCTGATCTTCAAACAAGGCGCAGACAAGTAAAACCGCCTGGTTGGCCTATGCTTGCCAGGGCTGAAGACTGAGCTCAAAAACACAGCGCCATAAGGGCTTTTTTGTTTTTGGTCTGCTCCGCCTTCTTGATAGCACGCAAGCAGCTCCGCGAGATTGTAGATGGGGCGCTTTTGGGTGAACTTTGAGATCCATCCTTCACCTGGCAGGGCAGGGTTTGACAGCCAAGGGCGGCACAAGTGTTGCGTGTAACACAGAGTGCGAATTAGGAAGAATGCAATGCAACCGAGCGGCGAGTGTGGAGAGGAAGTGCGCAGCATTCTCGTACGAGCGGAAATGCGGCCCGCAGTCAGAAGCAATTACGAGCTTCTTGACACGCTCCCGCTGCAGGTCTTGTCGTTCCCGAATGAGCTTGTGCGCTTCCCATTGTGGATTAGCACTGGCGCATGCGCGCCAAAGACTGTGATGGACATTTTTTCTGGGCATGACACTCGTCGCCGGTTCCTTCTTGACCTTAGCTTCGCAACATTGAACATAGACTAGACAAGACAAGGGTCATTCTTACTGGTCCGCAAGCAGGGCCTACCGGCCCAAAAGTACCAGAAAAGGGACAATGAAATTCGAGCTGCTTAGCGGGTAACGAACACTCTCCTTAAAGTTTACTTGTATCAGCGCCTCGTCAGCAGCAAAGAGTGCCACAGACACCAAAACCAATTCCTGCAGGTCGACATGACACGCGCCACACTGCTGGACTCAGGCGTGTGTGCGCAACGACCTGCTTCCAACTTGGATCCAGGCAGGACGCAGAAGCTCACGCTGCATAAATGCTGCCGGGTTTCTTTACTGGTCAAGAACTTGACGCTCTCAGAAGAAAACAACGCTGGGGCATTACTACACAAGGGCGTGGCAATGACTAGCTCGCGGAAACACGCAAGCAGAAACAACAAGGATGGCTAAGATCAGAAAATCAAGCATGGATGAGCAGAAACAAAAAGTTGAAAGCGATTTAGTCATAGACGGCAAAGAGCAGTTAAGCAAACAGAGATAACACAAACTCTTCACGACAAGCAGCGGAACAGCACGAATATGGCCCAACGCAGGACCCGGGGGCTGCCTAGCACCTACCTGCGCCACTTGCTGTTTTGAAGAGCGATGGAAGCCGCGAAGACTGACAGGACTTACTCATGCAGACAAAACAGCCGGTGCTTAGCTCGCCACGCACGGCCGTTGAACGGCTGCGTGGCACCACTCGGTGGAACGACTGGGAATGAGGGCGTAGCTCTTGCTGCCAGCCCGGCAACAAAACGCGACCTTCCTTGCCTTGTAGTCGGAGTGCGTAAACTTCAGACCCGGCTTGGCCTTGAGAAAGCCAGACATAAGGAAAATGCAGCGTTTTGCCCGAACAGAAGCTAAATGCAGACGTGAGAACAACCGCCCCTAAGCACTCAAACGGCACGACGTTTTCCGCGCTCATGCCCTTGGCTCCCCCCCCCCCGCCCCTGCGGGCCGCCTTTGCCGACTGGGCCAGTAGGGCTTGTGCCAATACGGGTTCTTTTTGCCGGCATGCAGCTTCTTGACCTTGTTGGACTTCCATCGGCACACAGGGCACACTTTGTTGGAAGACGAGGAGGAAGAGGATGAAGAGGAAGACAAAGAGCTCGAAGACGAAGAGGACCCACTCCCCACAACTCCACCCTCTCCCCACCCCCCACCACCCCACCCCCACCCCGCCCCCACTCCACCTTCCACCCGCACCCCCAGCATCCCCACCCCTCGTGTTGCTTCCAAAGTGCCCTGGCCGTCTTGTCTACGCGAAGCTCCACCGGGCCATCCGCATCTTGGACCTGGACCTGCTGCGTTTTCCCCCAGAAACCACCCAACAATTGTTAGTTTCCTGGTGGTTTCATCCCCACAAAACCAGATGCCCAAGCGTGGGCTCCAAAAAAAGACACACGTAGAGAAAACAATGCGGGTCTTGTGGCTGGATGCGGCTAGCCTACTTTGCAAACCCATTAGGGAATCCACCCCATGATTTCAGATGTTCTCAGCTGCATCTCTGGGGCTTGGCCCCTTGGGCCCTTTTGGACATGAGCATCCTTTAGGCGTGTCTGGGGTTCTTCTCCCAGACATGCCAAGAACAAGTTGCGACTAACTCGAACAGCTCACTGAAATTATCATGTCTGAAGGTGGAGCTGTCAGAGATCATCATACCATCCACAGTCAGTTCCCAAAAAAAAAAGGCATGATCACTCATTGGGCTCCTGCTGGCTCGCAAAGCTGACCACTGCAATGGTGTGACTGCAGCAAATGACTTTGAAGCCTCATACAAACCCTTTTTACACCATGCAGCATCGCCCAAACCCACCGTAGCTCAACCAAAATGTCATCTTTGGAAGTGAAGCGTTACAATAAGATAACTTCAAATGAGGTCCCAGCCATCCGCACACTCGGACTTTGGAGTTGACGCCGCTCAAATGCGAACATGCGCGAAAACGCTCAGTATGTTTGAGGAGTCGACCAAGCACCCCGTTGCGCCTGTCCCCTAAGCTTCATCTGCCCAACGTTGGCTTGTGGCTCAAATGACCCACAAACCAAGACGACATGGGACAATCGGCTTGTCCCGCGGTCCCCTACGTCTTCCCCAAACCAAAAGTCGACAACCAAGAACTTTGTCATAATTGCTCAAATGCTGCATCCATAGCTCTGGGTGCCAGGCGGTTAGCTGGGGCGTAGCAGACGGCGACTCCTCCGAATGCAACATGCCTGGCGAGTGCTCAGCATTGGACAAGGCGTTTTATATGTCCTCTTTCAAGGGCCAGGTAGCAGTAAGCGTCCTTTTGGTTGGGTGATATTTAATTTCAGCATCACCCGGACAAAAGCAAATTTGCATTCAACTGGGACGAACGATGATGTTTGAAAACATCCGGGGAACATAGAAAACACTGAAGAGGACCACCGTCGTCACAAATCACAAAGGCCGGCACGTTTGCTTGGCTCCGCCAACGACTGGTAGTTGGTGAAGCCGGCTACAACTGATTCATATAAGTCCCTCAAATGGACTCAACGGTATTGCTCATTCTCAGGCCAAAAAACCTAGCGACAAGCCCAGGCCAGTGTTTTCCGGCTCGCCGGAAGCCGAGCACCGGCTCTGGACATGCATTCGCCCGTGAAATCTGGGCCCCGGACGCTTCAGCACGCACTGTTTTGCTCAAGTCACAAGTCGTTCTCTGTTCCCCCGCTCCCCCTGCCCAAAAAAAAGATAAGTAAGCAAGCAAGCAAGCAAGCAAGCAAGCAAGCAAGCAAGCAAGCAAGCAAGCAAGCAAGCAAGCAAGCAAGCAAGCAAGCAAGCAAGCAAGCAAGCAAGCAAGCAAGCAAGCAAGCAAGCAAGCAAGCAAGCAAGCAAGCAAGCAAGCAAGCAAGCAAGCAAGCAAGCAAGCAAGCAAGCAAGCAAGCAAGCGATGGAGCAAGCAAGCGATGGAGCGAGCCAGGCAACCAACATTTCGTGTGCTGGAAAGTGATGGTTGCACTTACTAGGGGGCATTCCACTGAGCAATTGCTGTCCCCCCTCTTCATTTCAGGGTTGTTTTCGTCAAGGCAATCAAGGGGTTGCCTTGCAAGGAGAGATCTCGCGCCGGCCAATGCTCCCTTTCTCAGCTCCAGCTAGCCCCCACGCGCCTTTAGCCAGGAGCGCGCCCTTCCTCCCCCTTTGAGCCGACTGAAAACCCGCGCAACGAGTCAAAGGCCAGCGTAAAGGGCAGTGCCGCCTGAGCTATGTTTCTCCAAAGGGCGAACCTTGAGTTTTTGGGGGTACAGGGAAACCAAGAAAGCAAAGGGAACCCTCTCTTCTTGAAGGGTGGGAAACGCCCAAATATGTCCAGACCTCAAGCAAACACAAGCATAGCTGCAAAGGCTGAAGCAGCTTGCACCACATGAGTTGATGCTGGAAGTCCCTAGATCTGAGAACCTCTCTCAGTTTCAACAGGGAATGCGAACGAGGAACAAGACTCGAATAAGCCAAAAGCTGCGCCGCTCGATTCGGTTCCCATTTGATGCATTGCTTGCTGGCAACAATGCTGTATCTTTCGAACCAAAGGACCAACACCAAGGATCGGCCAATTTGATTTCCAAGCCACGCGTCCGATGCCATGTCAGCGCTTGCTCAACATGGAACCCAACCCCAAACAAACGAGTCGTTCTGTTGCCCTTTTGTGCCGTTCGTGCTCTGTGCCCTGAGCAGCCCCCAAGAAAGTGCCCCAAGATGAGAGACAAAATTACCATACCCAACAAGGGGAGAGCAAACAGCCCAGACACTCACCTCCTCCCAGTGCCTCCAAAGCCTAGGATGCGGATTCGCATCCACCTGCGTAAGACAGTCCAGCAAAATCCCTGGGCCATTTTGGGGGGCCGGGGGGGGGGACCACAAATGCCCCCAGCATGTTGCGGTTGGATGTGATTCACTTGCATGGGAATCACTGCAATGGTTGGGAGGGCCACTCAAGTGCCAATTTGGACGTTTCGGCCATGGCGGCCATGGCTCATGTGCGAATCTGTGAATACGGTGGTGGGGACTCCGCGTATCGCAACTCATTGAAAAAGGAAGCTAAGAGAAAACCAACCCGAACAAGTTTGCACACACTGGCAAATGGCGGCTTCTGACGGAAGCTGACAGCGTGAGTAAAACAAGGATCGTGGTGTTCAAGCCGTCTTCAGGGGGAGGCACTGGGATCCTTCAAATGACATCATTTCACATCTTCACATCTTCAGGTTCGCCAGATGACCAGAATCCTAACTGTGGCATTGGCATTGGTAGAGAAAAGCTAAAGAAGGCGAAAGCATGATTCAGTCCCTGGAACTTCTCCCTGCGAAAAAGGGGTGCGGTTCAATCCCCGGAATGCTGTTGGCTAGATCTGGAGTGATATCCAAATGCATGTGCCGGCTGGATCTTGATCCACTCCATGTGATTTGGGAGTTCCTCTGGCAGCTCTGACCATGTAGTCATTTACCATTCCACGCAGATTGACTCTTGACTTCATTGGCAGTGCACCTGGGATTTTGTTCACTCAATGCTAGCTGTGTACCTTTCATAGCCGCTTTCTGACTTCTTGCAGTTGAATGAGCTCGTTTGCCCCAATCCAAATATACCTGCCACTGCTGTTGCTGCTGCAGCATTCGGTCGTTCAACCGACATGGAGGGAGAAGGACGCCAAAGGGTTGGGTGTGCTCAGTGCAACAGAGGCTCACATTGGTCCGTCTAAGGATGGGCCCGGTCGTTTCCCTGTGGTATTCCTTCAAAGCACCGCAAAATGGCCACTCTCGAAAGCAGACATGCCGTCGATCCCGCTGGGACTGTGGCATAATTGAAGGCATCCTTCAGGTTGGAGACCTGAAGGATCGCACTCGGCGGAATGGCAAATTCACCAGGCGGGGCCCAAGCTAACCGCCCATCTAAGGGAGTTGGTTGTGCTATGCCGTCAGCCTGTTCCATGGAGGTGTGCCCCTCCATCCCATGAACACATGAGCGCACATTGATGTTCCAGTTTCTACAGGCTGATGGGCAGTGAAATCACATCTTCTCCCATGCCTTGCGCAAAGGGTGTCCCGCTGTACTTGTCATTTCAGGAGGAGCCCACAATTTTACGCATGACTGTTCGGATGGACACGTCAGATGCTCAGTCCCGGAACAGGTCACTGCCAACGACTCAAACATGATTAAACATAACCCGCGGCAAAGACAGGGGCCTTCACCATATTTCCCACCCAAACGGTGCACCATTCAGGGAATCTTGTAAATGGCAACCTACCAAAGCAATATTTGATGCAGGCAAAATAGAAGATGTGTCCTGTGTCATATCTCAGGAGTAGAAGTGGCTCCTGTTTGAAGGACACGCGGCCAGCTTCTCAGACTCTTCGTGTAGCTGATGGCTCAAACAAAATGCTTGGCATGAAAGCCGATCTGTCCCTAAAACTGACTGAAAGTGACTATGTGCGACTAATAGTAACTACTAGTAGCTATTAGTGACTGCTAGTGACTACTGGTGACTATCGGTGACTATAAGTGACTAGTGACTATTAGTGACTATGAGTGACTATAATAGTGACTATTAATGACTATTACTTGAGTGACTATAAGTGACTAATAGTGACTATTAGTGACTATTAGTGACTATTAGTGACTATTAGTGACTAGCAGTGACGATTAGTGGCTATTAGTGACTATAAGTGACTACCAGTGACTATAAGTAACTACTAGTGACTATTAGTGACTATTAGTAACTATAACTGACTAATAGTGAACTATAAGTGACTAATAGTGACTATTGTTGACTATTAGTGACTAATAGTGACGATTAGTGACTATTAGTGACTAATGGTCACAATAAGTGACTATAACTGGCGAATAGTGACTATTGGTGACTACTAGTGGCTAGTCACGATTAGTGACTATTGATCAGTGACTATAAGTGACTATAAGTGACTATAAGTGACTATAAGTAACTAATAGTGACTTTTAGTGACTGTTACTGACTATTAGTTGCTAAATTCGTGCCTATTGGTGACTATTGGTGACTATTGGTGACTGATAGAGACTATTTAGTCACTAATACTCACTATTAGTGACTACTAGTGACTATTAGTGATTATTAGTGATTATTGCGACTAATAGTGACTATTCGTGACTATAAGCGACTACAAGTGACTACAAGTGACTACAAGGGACTGATAGCGACTATTAGTGATCATTACTAACTATTAGTAACTATTAATAACTAATAGTGACTAATAGTGACTATTAGTGACTATTGGTGAGAAATAGTGACTAATAGTGACTAATAGTGACTAATAGTGACTAGTGGAGACTATTAGTGACTATTAGTGACTATTAGTGACTATGACTGACTATTAGTGGCTAAATTAGTGACTAGTGGTGACTATTGGTGACTGATAGAGACTATTTAGTCACTACTAGTCACTATTAGTGACTACTAGTGACTATTAGTGACTATTAGTGACTAATAGTGACTAATAGTGACTATTGGTAACTATAAGTGACTATATGTGACTACAAGTGACTACAAGTGACTACAAGGGACTGATAGTGACTATTTGTGACCATTAGTGACTATTAATGACCAATAGTGACCAATAGTGACTATTAGTGACTATTAGTGACAAATAGTGACTAATAGTGACTATTAGTGACTATTAGTGACTTCTAGTGCCAACTCGTGACAAATAGTCAATATCCGGCACGATGGCTTGCGGTTGCTCCACAATTGCAGGAACACCCACGGCGCCTTGGTCAAGATGTCCCTGGTGTCCCTCAAGCTCTTCGTCTCAAAATCCAGGAGAACCTGCAACTGTCAACTTGCCCTTAGGTTGATTCCCCCAAGCCACCACAGGAAGTGATGAAAGGTGTAAACCTTGGAATCTTGGTGGCCTCACATCCCCAGTTCAGTTGTGTTTCTGAGCAGCTCCCCGAAACTCGCGCTCTGCCAAAACCCACCGGTCCCGGTCTCCCGGCCTCCTTCCGCGGATTCTCCGGGTTTTGGATCACCTGCAACAGGCGCTCCGCCAGTCCAAAGCGTAGGCATTGCAAAAACTCCCCGCTCCCAACAGATTCCGGATGAAAACAAACAGCACGGGCTGCCCCTTCTGGATAAGTTTGCTGTGCACAAACAGCGTTGCGGCGACTTCCAACCATGACTCCAAGGTTCCAACTTTCCAGAAGACTACGAACTCCCAAACCAGGGGAACTGTGTGGTTTTGGCAAAAGACCGATGATTAATTGTAAACCATACGGAGACATCAAACGGCACGATCATCTTTTATCAGCATTCCCCCCCGAATCCAGCGCTGCCGGCAGCCCATGGTGGGAAATGGAGCCCTTCTGTGGCTTCTCTTGTCACTCTCAAGATGGCATATGGGTGTGGCTCAAAATTGAACAGGAGGTGTTACGCAGGTTTTGGTCCATGTTTCCACTTACCAGGGTTTCATTTTGGTACCGGTTCGCAGAAGATGGCAGCCCAAAATCGGAACCCATGCTGGCCTGCTGCTCAGGGTGCTGCTTGAGGGGTTGGTGACGGAGCGGGCGCATCTTTGACGGCAGGGTGCTAGGGCGGGTGCTGTTTGCGGGTGCTGTTCGGGGTGTTGCTGAAGGCGCTCATGACGGAGCTGGCGCATTTTCGCGAGATTTACGTGGATTGTGTTTACAGGCAAGCCAAAAAGAAACCATCCACCTTGACGCCGCACGGTTTCCAAGCAACCCCCCACACGCCAGCATTTTTCCTAAACCGCAAATTGAGTTGATGCGCCCCATTCGCGGCAACCTTTAGTAAAAGGCGAAAGATTGGCGCGCTATGAAGTGAACGCTGTGATAGTTAGGGCCGTCCTCCAAACAGGTGAGCAAAAATGCTGCTAGCAGGGTGCGTTTTTGCTCCAAGAAACATTCTCTTTAGGAAAGACCTGCAGCGGAATACACTAGCAAGTAGCACAAGCAAGTAGCAGTAGCAGGTGGCACGAACGAGTTGCACCAGCAAGTTGCATTCGCCAGATGCGCTAGCACGTAGCACTAGCAAGATAGCACTATCAAAATTGGCAAGCAAGTGGCGCTAGCAAGTGGGAGTACTTACTTGCAATTGCAAGTTGCACTAAGAAGTTGCTTTGGCAGGGAACAACAGCAAGTTACACAAAAGATCGGCACGAGAGGTTTCAGTGTCCTACACTAGATAGAAATCTTCCAAATACCTCTAGGCTGCGGGCCTGCACCAACTTGGCGATCGAAAAGCCGACCCTCTGCGGAGATTGTCGTTTCAGTTTTGTACGTCTTACGACTTCTGCGGTGCCCTTTGCGGAGATCGGCGTTTTCGATGTCCAGAAATTGTCGGCACGCGCCCGACCCTCTGCCAGCAAAACCTTACTTTTTCCAGTCGGAACGAGCTCTTGAAAATGTGTCTCGTGGTTTGCGCGCCTTCTCTTGGCAGCGAGTGGCCCCAGGCTCAAACCCTGTTTGGTCTCCGCAGCTTCTAAGTTACAAAGCCGGCAGCGCGAAAGAAATTTCGAGAAGTGCGCTTGTTCAGCTCCAGCTGGAAAACCGCAACTTTTAAGCACGAGTAGCACTTTCGTAGCTCCGGTTGGCTTTGTACGAAAGTAGTACGCGGAGTACATTTCGCGCAGCTACGGCAGGAAAATCGCAAGTTGAACTACCAAAATAGTACGCGAAGAACACTTTCAGAAGGCTCCAGCTGGAAGTTTAATTAAGAAAGTCTTGCGGGAATACGCTTTCACTGGCAGATCGCAGCTTGTAATAAAAGAAGCAGTACGTCAAGTACGCTTTTCCAGGTCCGGGTCGACATTTGCATTCGCGTTGACAGGTTGCTGCGTTGCGATCATCACTGCACGCAGAGAACTTACTCCGAGAACTTTCTCAAAGAAGCTTGTTCAGAGGAACTTGCTTGGAGAACTTGCTCAGAGGAACTCGCGCCAACGACTTGCTCTGAGGGACTTGCACAGAGAACTTGCCAGGAGAACTTGAGCCGCCGGCAGCTATTGCTTCTGGGCCACCCGTCTTCTAGCTTCATTTTTCAATTTAATGTGTGGAGGTATATGTGTGGAGAAACGGATGTGTGCGGAGGATGTGTTCTGTATGTATGAATGGGTGGAAGTATGGATGGATTTGGGAACTGAGTGGCAGCTGACAAGTGAAGAGACATAAAGCGAAAACGTGGAATCTTAAAAGTTCTTTTGAATGGGGGGGGAAAGCTGGCAATGACAGCCCATCGCCGGCAGCCATATCTCTCCGAATGCACCGGAGCTCTTTCAACCTGCAATGGTAAGCGGAGAGGAGCCCGCCTAGTACTGGCCTAGGGGATTCGCTGGGAAGCGCTTAGGGCGCTGTCGGCCTTTGGGCGCGCAGAAGGGCTCAACGCAATCTCTTTCGCAGAAAGGCCCAAGTGAACACATTCAAGAAAACATGCTGTTCAAAATTAACTCACGCCAAAATAGTGATATCAAATATATCTGCTGATCTTTGCCCTGCCTCGCTTGCTTTGCTTTGCTTTGCTTTGCTTTGCTTTGCTTTGCTTGGCTTGGCTTGGCTTGGCTTGGCTCGGCTCGGCTCGGCTCGGCTCGGCTCGGCTCGGCTCGGCTCGGCTCGGCTCGGCTCGGCTCGGCTCGGCTCGGCTCGGCTCGGCTCGGCTCGGCTCGGCTCGGCTCGGCTCGGCTCGGCTCGGCTCGGCTCGGCTCGGCTCGGCTCGGCCCGGCTCGGCCCGGCTCGGCCCGGCTCGGCCCGGCTCGGCCCGGCTCGGCCTGGCTCGGCCTGGCTCGGCCTGGCTCGGCCTGGCTCGGCCTGGCCTGGCCTGGCCTGGCCTGGCCTGGCCTGGCCTGGCCTGGCCTGGCCTGGCCTGGCCTTGCGGTGCGGTGCGGTGCGGTGCGGTGCGGTGCGGTGCGGTGCGGTGCGGTGCGGTGCGGTGCGGTGCGGTGCGGTGCGGTGCGGTGCGGTGCGGTGCGTTGCGTTGCGTTGCGTTGCGTTGCGTTGCGGTGCGGTGCGGTGCGGTGCGGTGCGGTGCGGTGCG